CATCTTATCCACTCTATTCACTCGTTATCGACACTCCCACCGTGACTATTGCACACAGCCCCGATGTTAATCCAGCCTCTCATCTAATACCACACATAGACACAAGTCCCAAACCCTATAACTGTATCTCCCTAATTCATATAGCATCCTCCCCGTTTCCACATATTTCTCTTTCCCATTCCAGACCCATACCAAACATGGTTTATTAATGGCAGTTCTTTAAAGCCCAGTCAGTTGGCTAAAGCCGGTTATGCGGTTGTATCCCACTCATCTATCAATCATTGAGGCCGCCACACTCCCTCCCTCTACCACTTCTCAGCAAGCTGAACTCATTGCTTTAACCCGTGCTCTTACTCTTGCTAAGAGACTACATGTAAATATCTAGACTGACTCTAAATACGCCTTCCACATCCTACACCACCATGCTGCCATATGGGCAGAAAAAGGTTTTCTTACCAAGCAGGGGTCTTCTATTATCAATGCCCCCTTAATAAACGCCCTCCCTAAGGCTGTTCTCCTCCTAGCCAAGGCTGGAGTCATCCACTCTAAAGGACACCAAAAAAATTTAGATCCCATTGCCCAAGGAAATGCATTTGCCAATGAAACAGTTAAGAAGGCAGCAAATGCACCAAAATCCCCTCTTAGCAGACAATATATTCTTTTTTCATCAATTACTCCTACTTACTCTCCTTCTAAACCCTTAACCTACTGGTAAATTCCCACTCAAGGCAGTTGGGTTTTGAATCAAGGAAAATTCCTTCTTCCTGACTTGCAAGCCCACTCTGTCCTTTCTTCCTTTCATAACCATGTTCATGTGGAATATAAGCATTTGGCCTATCTCTTAGAACCTCTTACATCCTTCCCTTCATGCAAGTCCCTCCTTAAAACAATTACATTTCAGTGCTCCATCTGCCACTCTACCAATCTCCAGGGATTTTAAAGATCTCCTCCCTTTCCCACTCACCAAGCACAGGGATTTGTCCCCATACAAGATTGGCAGTTGTTAACTTTACTCATTTGCCTCATATCAGAAAATTCAAATATTTTCTTGTATGGGCAGATACCTTTACAGGGTGAATTAAAGCCTTCCCTACTGGAACAGAAAAGGCAATTGCTGTTATTTGTCTGTTAAATATCATTCCTTGATTTGGCCTGCCTACTTCCATACGATCTGACAATGGCCCTGCTTTCATTAGCCAAATCACCAAAGCAGTGTCTCAGGCCCTTAGCATTCCATGGAATATCCATGCCCCTTACCGCCCTCAGTCATCAGGAAAGTAGAAAAAGCTAATGGCCTTCTAAAAACACATCTTAACCAAACTCACCCTTCAACTAACAAAGGACTGGTATCCCTTCTACCTATTGTTCTCCTCAGAATTCATGCCACTCCCTGAAAACCCACAGGATACAGCCCCTTTGAACTCTAATATCGCCATACCTTTTTGCTGGGCCTAACATGCTCCCAGACACTAGTCCTCTTGAAGACTATCTTCCAGTTCTCTAACAAACTAGGCAGGAAATTCAGCAAGCTGCGTCTTACCCAGTCCAGATACCCGGCCTTATGAGGACACCTTAGCTGGATCAGTGCTGGTCAAGGATGTAACTTCTCCAGATCTCCAGCCTCGGTGGAAGGGTCTCTACCTGGTTGTCTATGGTACCCCAACTGCTGTCTGTCTACAAGACCCTCCCCACTGGGTTCGCCAGTCTGGGACTAAACTGTGTCCATCCAATGACCAGCCTAGGCCATCCGCCTCCTCTTGGAAGTTGCGAGTACTCTCTTCTACTTCTCTTAAGCTAACTCGAATTCCTGAAGAGTCGACACAAATCACACATGAGTTTAGATTATATTCTAACATTGACAGGAATCCTTTTCTTAACTTTGCTACTTGCAACAGGACCCTGCACAGTCACCCCTAAAACTTGATGGACACATCACAACTTCTCTATTTCTGTTGCTTTCTGTCTAATCATACTTCTGATTGCCCTTCTCATCTACATTTTACGTGCCCTACGTCTGCTGCCTTGCCGGTTCACCGCTTTCCTCCAGACCATTTTAGCTGACATCTCGTGGTTCTACCCATGAACTTCCACCCTTGACTTCTTCCTTGAGTGGATAAATGACCTTACATGGCAAGGGACACTCCAATTCTTCCACCCTAATAAAGTTCTCTTCTTTACTTTTCTGCTCACTCTGTCCCATTCTGTCACTCCCTATCCCTTCCTAATTACCTTCAACATACCATCAATCTAACCCATTCTGGCTTCACTGATTCCAACCCATTGTTGGCAAAAACAATTGCTGGCTCTGCATCTCCCTTTCTCCTCTCCTTAAACCGCTATTCCTGCCCTGCCAGCGATCAGGCTACCTCTCCTGTCTCCCTACACCTCCGCACTTCTTTTAACAGTCCCCATCTCTACCCTCCCATGGAGCTTCTCTATTTCTTAGATGAGTTCACGAAGACATCCTCAAACATTTCATACCAACAAGCTGCTATACTTCTCTGCAACTATTATTTACAGCAACTCTCACCTCATATCAACTCCACTCCGCGCACAACTATCTCCACTCCAGTTCCTCTATGCATTTCCCATCAACGAACCACTGGAATTCCCTTGGATAATCTTCCACCTTCTAAGTGCGCCTTTACTCTTCATCTCCAAAGCCCTGACACACATGTTAATATGCCTTTAGGAGCATATTCACTTTGCTTTACTGACAAACCCTCTATCACTACTAGTAACCTCAAAACTATTAAGTTACTATTGTCTAGGTCAGCACCTTCTCTCTCACTCCGTCCTTGGCCACTCTCTCCCTGTTCCTTGGATTCTTCTCCTAGCCCCTCTTCATGCTTACTCATACCTGGCCCTACAAATGTTAGCAGCAGACTATTCGTTAATACTACATGCCTCATACATGATGAAAATCAAACTGTCTCCACTACAGTTACCCCATCAATCTCCCTCTCAACCTCTAACTGCTGCTGTCCTTGCAGGATCTTTAGGAGTTTGGGTATCTAACTCCTCTTTCAAGGATCCCTCCCAACTTGTCACCCTACATTTTCAATTTTGCCTTGCCCCAGGCCTCTTTATGTGTCTACCTACTAACCGGACAGGCACCTGTGACTTAGTCTTCCTTATTCCTAGAATCCAATTTGCCAGTAGCAACGAACAACTGCCTGTCCCCCTAATGACACCTACTAAAAAAGTCATCCAGCTCGTTCCATTACTCGTGGGAATAGAGATTGCAGCCTCCACTGTAGGCCTTGGAACTGGCAGAGCAGGGGTCACTACCTCTGTCACAACATTATTTCTAAATAAGGAATGCTGTTTTTACTTAAATCAGTCCGGCATAGTTTATAATAATATCAAAAGGCTCAAAGGCAAGGCCCCAAAATTTGCTATCAGGCAAATAACTATGCCAAATCGACTTGGCCGTTTTCTAGCTGAATGACATGACTTTTTCCAGTTCTTACTCCCTTAATACCTGTCTTCCTTCTCTTATTCAGACCTTGGGTTTTCCGATTAGTCTCTCAATTCCTATAAAACCGTATCCAGGCCATCCGTAATCACTCTATATGGCAAATGCTACTTTTAACAACCTCACAATATCACGCCGTCCCCGGACCTCTCAGCTGCTTAAGATAAGATGCCTTGGCAACTCTTCCCGGTTATTTGCCTGTCTTATCTCCCCAACCCTATTTCACAGTCTTCACCCTTCTAGGATCAACGAAAAATACCAATCCATCACTCATGAGCTCCAGACAGAGCCCAGCTAATGTCAAGATGCAGCATGGCACATATCCCTTTCCATCCAAATCTTCTTGGAGCACCCCCCTACACTGGAAACTATTCTGACCTTGGCTCAAGACTTCATCACCACCCATCTGAAAGCTATTATGTTTCTAAGGACTTGGCTAAACACCTACTAAACTACAAAAATCATGAGCTTTTCTTTTAGGTGTCTGCGCAGTGCCCTGTTACGCTCAAAGAAGTCATGAGAAACATCGCCTCTACTCCCTTCTCTAACTTTTTTCCTTATACATATATGAAAAGATGGGAATGCCAGGCCTCCAAGTCCAAGCCTGGCCATTATAGCCTTGGTGACCCGCACGTACACCTCTGGATGGTCCCCAGGAGCCAGAAAGTCTGAAGTCACCACAAGTAACCAGGTGACCACAGAAAGAAGTAAAACAAACAACTTGTTCCTGCCTCCACTAATTGCTCTCCCCCTACAACCATTGTTCCTGCTCAGCCTTGCGGAATTTCGCCCCTGGACATTGGGTTTCTCAAGACCCCAACCCTATAACTATGTAATTTACCTCCCTGCCCCTCTGCTTGTAACTGATAACCCCCACCCTTATAATCATGCCTGTTTGTAATAGATGACCCCTACCCTTGTGACAATGCATCCGTGATGCCCTTTCCCTCCCTAAAATAGATGACCACTTTTAACTGACCACTTGCCCCAACCTAAAAATACCAACTTCTATCCTACCGCCCTCCACTGACTCTTTTCAGATTCAGTCTGCCTGCACCCAGCTGAATAAACAGCCATGTTGCTCACACACAGCCTGCCTGGTAGTCTCTTTATGCAAGTGACGTGCCTAACAAGTCTGACTACAGGGAGGAGGCTCCCAGACACCAGGCCTAGGACACCTCCAGGAGAAATCAGCCCTAAAGCAGGGGCTCACAAGTCATGTTTGGGCATTCCATCACTAGTCCTCTGTAAAAGTAACACCATGAAAACCCAACCATAGAGACTTTCACGATAATAAAGTCAAGGTTGACATTTCTGAGTGATATGTCAAATGTGCTGAGAAATCAGCATTTTTGTTTTTAACAATTAGCCCACATCAGAGGTATCTGAAGGCTTTTTATGTTGAATTTGTACATTAGATTTTTTTTTGTGGGTACAATTTTAACTTTTCAGGAAACATCCTTATGGTCAGGTGGGGTGTTTGCAGGGAGGTCAGTGCTACATGAGTTCAGGAAGAGAATACCTGTTTCCTGGGTCACTGTGTTTTTCTTGTTGGCCATGTTAAATATTGACCTCCTGGAATCGACAAGCAGCCGGTAATATCCAGCCGTCAAGCAGGCCAGGTTCATGGCATCTGAGGATTCCATCAGGAGCGTGATGGGCTACACAAAAGAGAACATTTTGGTTAAAGCCATCCATTCTTAATAATGTCTCTTGAGTGTCAATGGCTGCATTTATGCTTATGGAAAAAGGAGCTATTAATCATTTCATGGGAGAAACCCAAAGCAGGAGAAAAAGCCAAGGATAACACCAAGTGCCTTACTGAGAAACATTCAGGACACACCATCTAAAAAGCCTGGACATTTTGAATCACTTCCAAGTCATATATATGTGTATATACATATATATATATGTGTGTGTGTATATGTATGTATATATTTGAGAGACACATATATATATTTGAGACAGGTTCTTGCTCCGTCACCCAGGCTGGAGTGCAGTGCCATGAACTCGGCTCACTGCAACCCCCGCCTCCTGGGTTTAAGTGACTCTTACGCCTCAGCCTCCCGACTAGCTGGGATCACAGGCATGCGCCACCATGCCAGGCTAATTTTTGAATTTTTAGTAGAGACGGGGTTTTGCCACGTTGGCCAGACTGGACTCTAACTCCTGACCTCAAATGATCTGCCCGCCTCAGCATCCCAAAGTGCTGGTATTGCTGGTGTGGGCCACTGCACCTGGCCCCCAAACCATACTGAAATGAAAAAAGATTGTTTTCTTCCCAAATAATTAACATTTTTAGCATTTAAAAACAATTAAACATGTTACACTGGTAAATTAACTAGCTAAGTTACCAGTTACTTCAGTTATCAGCAGTGAACTCACAATCTGAAAATTACAGAAAGATTAAGTTTTGGGTTCACAGTAAAAATTAGTGTTAAAGAGGGGTACAATTCAGTGGAAATGACTGCTAAGACTGAAAAGTGCCAGAGATCCAGTAAAAGGTTGCTTCTAAATGCAATTGTAAATTTACAGGAGGGTAAAACAGATGGGAGCTGAGAAAAGGCCTAACTAAAACTCTCTTGAAACCATGAGGTTATGATACAACTGGACATGGATTTGGGGCTTATAGGGGAAAAAAGTGTTTGATGAAGCAGTTTTTCTCATTGAGTTAGGAAGGGTATATTCTTGTCAAAAGAGAAAGTAAGAGAGAAATAAGAAAAAGTAGATACGAAGACAGACACAGAGACAGCGAGACAGCAGGCTTCTTCCTTTCAATCCTAGGTATAGGACACTGGCCGGTTCAATGACCCCAGCTGGTAGAATGTAACTTCCCTGCCAAAGCCCCTGTACTACTTGTTGAACTGCCTTTCCTTCCACTTCATTTGAGGTCTCCCCTCAGCATCCAAGCCACCACATCATTATTCTATACAGGCAGGACACCATCAGCCAGGCACGCCACTCATTTCTGTTTAGGACAGATTATCTCTGTAATCAGATCTGTAATAACTGCATGCAGTTCACCTTTTCATCCACCTGTCTCTGTGATGGGGCTATTTCTCTCAGCCTCTTTGCTCGTGGGGTAGGTGGGCATTCCAAGTCTATCCTCACATTTTCAGCTTGCCATGAAGTCAATGGGAACCCTCTGAATCCAGCCCATGAAATCCCATAGGCCATACCCAGCATGTCTGAGCTCCACATTCTTTCACGATCATCTGTTCCAACTGCAGAGCTCTCTGGTGTATTCTGATGTGCTTGGCCACATTCTCAATTACTGTTAATGCACTCCTCCCACACCACCCTAGTGGGGATGCAGGTAGTGCTGAGTCCTCCCTGGCTGTTCTCAGAGCACCCTCCAGGCTGATGTTGTCTCCTTTGTGGAGTCACTATTGCCCTTTGTTCTAGTGCTTTTTCTTTATAGAAACAATAGGAGTATTGCCATTGCCAAAATCCAATAACTCATCCCTACTGGGAAAAGAAGGTGGACACCAGGAAACCTGGACTATTTCCTATTCTCTTTTGGGAGTAGGCTTTTGCCCTTTGTGGACCATCTCAGATTTTTTTTTTTTTTCTTTTTTTTTTGAGATGCAGTTTCACTCTGTCACCCAGGCTGGAGTGCAATGGCATGATCTCGGCTCACTGCAACCTCTGCCTCCCGGGTTCAAGTGATTCTCCTGCCTCAGCTCGTAAGTAGCTAGGATTACAGACAAACACCCCACACCCAGCTAATTTGTGTTTTTTTTAGTTGAGATGGGGTACCATGTTGGCAAGGCTTATCTCAAACTGTTGACCTCGTGATCTGCCTGCCTCGGCGTCCCAAAGTACTGGAATTACAGGTGTGAGCCATTGCACCCAGCCAGATTTTTGTTTTAAATAGAACGGCCGTAAAATTCTTGGGGTCAGATGTTCAATCTGTATAAATTGCTACCATATGAGAAGAACAACCATGAGAAGGCAGAAGAACGAAAACATCAAGCTTTTCCAAAAGAATAAACACATGGACCCAACCTAAGTAAAGGGAGTGAGAATTCTAAAGAGAGTTGGGGAAAATCTCCCTCTTGATTTGAGTCATATATTCTAGAAAGTTAGTTCAGAAAAGCTTCCCCTACTCTATAACTATAAATCACATATTCTAAAGTCAGAAGGGACCTAGAAATTATATATCTTGCTTTGTGATGTATGAATTAAAAAAACTGAGCCCAGAGAAGTATAGCGACCTGTTCCCAACCACACAGCAATTCAGTGAGAACTGGAGCACCCCAGGCCTGAGTTGGGTGGATTATTTTCTGCACTACATTGCATCTGTGATGCTCTGCACACATTGACACTTGACTGCCTTATAAACACCAGCAGTGTTATCAGAAATTAGCTATTTACAGCAAGGCAATGTATCAACATCTGAAAAACTTGCCTTCACATCCAGCACGTGGAGTTCTACCCGCACCAAACTCTCCTCCTCAGAAAACATTTCGATCCTGTTGACGTGGCTAAAGTCGGCTAAAAGGGCCACCAGATTAGTTTTGGTGTTGATGACGTGGCTTATGCCATACCGGGGCCCAACAAGGAGAGTCACTTCCGAGCGCTTTTCTGCCTGCTGAGAAAGAGAGGTTGACAACGTAAAAATACTGAACTGAAACACCATGCCAACTTGAACCTACGATCCTATTTTTATAAGATTACATTTTCTTTAGAAAGTGTTTCTGGGTCATACTGTACTAAATCATCCAATTAGAAGAACCAGATACATGAATGGAGGCTCTGATAAATTATGAATAATTAGAAAGTAAATGTTATAGCACAGTATGCTCATAATTATAAGATGCTTTTAGAAATAAGGCTTTTTAGTCTTCTTTTACTGTGAAAGCAACTTCTGGCACAATGATTTTAAAAAAGGCCATTGTTAGAATCCTTTGATTCTCTTGGTTCTTCACATTTCTTTTTCTAGGGCATTCTGCAGTGGTATTTTCTAGTTTAACATTTCTTCTGATATTTTCAGACTGTTGTGAAGTTGGTTAGAAATGAAGGCTGGAGAAGATTCGCAGCTGATGTGCTTTTGTCATCAGAGGTGGAATGAGATGCTGTGGCTTCTGAGAGAAAGAAAGGAAAAAAAAAAAAAAGAAAAAAGCAATTACCACTAATGTTGCCTTGAACACACGGCCACCATACAATCGCAGGTCACTGAGGAACTTGAGATAATGGACCTTGGCTTGTAGTGCAGAGAGCTGAGGAGAGAAAAGAAAACTCAGGTGTTAGTTAATGCTATTGGGTATGACTCCACTTCAGCTGGAGACCAGCAGAAAACAAGGGTAAGATAGAAGGATGATTGTACTGCTGAAAAGTTGGGGTGTGACAAAGACTCTTCATTAGGAATAAAGTTGCTACATATTTGGCTTCCTGATGAAGGACTGAAACATGACATCAAGATTCAAATCTTATTTATTAGGGGGTCAATGTATGGGGCACTCATGGGTATAGATATGCTGTGCCAGGGCACTCAACAAGTGAGAACAAGACCATCAAATGTTCCACTGAACATCTGCTCACTGGGAGATTTCAGGAGGTGAGTAGTGCCTTCTACTTGCAATTATGGACCAAGATGAGGTGTCTAGATATATTCCCATTGCACAAGAGACTCACCTGAATGTAGACTTATGGGAAACATTTTGAATACCCACTGCAATCTAGGCAAAGCCTTTTAAACAGGCTCGCTATACTTCCCCTCTCAAGTTTCTTCCAGTCCTTGCAAATTTTCTGGGGAAATGTTTGAACTTGCTATATAAGGCTCTGTTTTATTAATTCAGCTTGGAAAATCTGTTGAGTTTCATGAATGATTTATAAATGAAATTTTATCCAGATAAAAGTTATCTTTACAAAGATTTAAAAATGTAGGTTCCCATATCACTAAAAAGAGTATTTGATTTTTTTAAAACAAGGTCTATGTTTCATACGGAATGTGCCAGGGATGTTTAAGGTTGAAATTTTCCAACAAGGTGCAGACCACCATTAAGTAGCAATGAACATAAAATTCTGTTTTCAATTGCAGATGACTTGCCAACTTATTTGTTAACTATATCTAAACGTACTGCTCTTTATGTAATTTTTATTTAGCACAATTCATACATCCCTCTTTCAAAAATGCAAAGCATGTGCAAATTGTTTTGAAAGCCAACTATTCACTCTTGGCTAGAAAAACAACCTTTGAAGAAGGACAGTGATGGATAAATGGATAGGTTGATTTATCTTATAGCAGTTATCTAAATTATCGAGTGGGCCAGGCTTGAAAAAAAATCACAATTATAGAAATTAGCTTCCAGCAAATCAGAACTGAAGTTAAAAAGCACTTGACCCGCATCATCTTGCTACATCTCTGTAAGCTGAATGCTCACTGTGATCGAAGACATCCTTCCCATGAAACTGGGAAGTGAGTCAAAGGTGGCTGACAGTGTGTTGAACCTGATTATACTTAAAAAAAAAAAAAAGCATCATGGGTGAAGAGGGGATAGAAATAAATGTGCCTTACCCAGTAAAAATGACTTAAAAAATCAGATACTAAGACAAAATAATTCTCCACATAAAGTGATTTGTATTAGAGTCACACAGATTTCTCCCGCTAATATCAATTACAAAGTGTTCTTGGTTATAAGACTGCTTCCAATTTTATAGATTCAGTATTTTAAGGCTCCTTCTCTTTCTGGTTCCTGGAGTCTCTTGTTTTTTATTACCTGTCAACCATACCTTGCTTTTCTGACCAACAGTCTATTTTAAAATGTCCTTTGTGTTTCTCCTACTTAAGGAAAATAAAAACAAAAGCATAAAAACATTTTAACACTAATGATAGTGAATGACAGCAATAATTTTGTCTTCCCTCCAAAGATAGGATTGAATCCAACATTTGTCAACAGGGGTGATTTTGTTCCCCAGAGCACATTTGGCATTGTCTGGAGACATTTTTGTTTGTCATGATCACAGGAGCGTGCTACCGGCATCTTGTGGATAGAGAGCAGAGATGCTGCTAAGCATCCCACAATCCACAGGCTGTACCCTGTGACTCCCTAACAAAGAATGATCTGTTCCCAAATGTCAGTTATGTCACAGTTGACGATCCCTGGTTTAATTAATGTGGCCTCTGGCCTGCAAGGCCCCTTGCTGGCTGTGGTGCATTTAAGCTGGTCTGAGCAGTAAGAAATTGCGTGATTGAAACATAGAATTATTTCATAGTTCTATCTTCTATTCACAGTGTCTCAGAGGCTATGCAAACTTTTCCTGCAGGGGCACATGAACACACACCTCCCCCGCTACAATACAGAGTCCATAACTTGTGAGAAATAAACAGGTTTCTATATGAATACTTATTTTTCATTAGTGTTAGAAACATGTTAATAGTTAGAAAAAAGTTACACAGTTTTACTGCTTCTGAAAATATGGTGCTAAGTATTTTATTCATGAGCTAATTTTAAACATTTTAAACAATGCGTTCAAACCCCTTTCTTTATAATTTTCTATTAAGATGCAAATGTGATACCTTTTTACCCGGTGGTACCAAGTTTTGATTTGCTTTGACAAGGTGTGAAAGTGCTTTCTTTATGTTCTTCTCTTTCATGCTTTGCAGCACAGCAGAGGGAAGAAAAGTCTCTAATCCCCATTCTTTTCTGCAATAAAGAACATATCTTTAATTTCACATTCTTGTGATGATTAGTTATCTAAGACAGAATGGGGCTCTGATGTTTGTTGGAACAAATGAACTCTTGGTAAGGCAGAGAATGGAGACAAGTCCCCAATTAGGGAAATAACTTTTAATTTACACTCAGGACACACACTACTTGATCATTTGCATTTTAAAAGAAACCTATTCCTCACTCTCTAGAGACAATGCTAAGGAGACATTTGGAACCAGTGGAAAGCGAATAGACATTTTGTCCAACCGACTTCTGGATCTCTTCAAAGTCACTCACGTGTCCGTGTTTGCATTTCCAACACCAATTTCTCTCCATTCCTTTTTTGATTTCTCTTCTCCGATCTCACTATCTGCTCACATTCTTTCTCTCTCCTCTTAGAAGAATGGATGCAACTCTTTCATGTCTCCAAACCATTCTTCCCTGTCCCTCCCCTCCTCCATGGCTATTTCTCTAGGCACACACAGTTCTCTTTTGTCCCAGCCAGTTCGTGTCTAACTCCTTCCATCAACATTTTGTGCTGCTAGTGTGGAACTGGGTATGATTCATGACCCTCAAGTGTGCCTGGTATTGATATGGAGATGCAGGCATCATTCATGGGTGTGGATATACAACAAAACAACAAATGGGACTACGTTAATATATGTTTACAAAGAGCCAATTTCCCCAGAAATGACTACAACCCCTTTCTAAGAAGGGCTCATGTTTTGAATTCTAGGAAATCTATCCTGGAATAGAAATCCTACCCTGGGTTATGTGTCTAACCAGTGTCTTCTAAATTATGTGAAGACCCTCAAGAGGATTCCAGTTATTTCTCCTGCTCCAGGTCCTCTCCAAAAAGGGCAGGAAGACAACCTACCCCTATCACTTGCCCATTCATATTCTTCGCTAGTTAAGATGGTATATTTCATGATCATTATGTTTTCTTCCTTTTCAACTTGTACCTATTGTCTGTCCTTTGCCATCATTTGGCACTAATAATTATGGGCTATCTTGTAATCCTACCTGTATCATTACATAATCACTTTTCACATTTTTTATACGTTGTCTTTACAATCAGATCACAGGTTTCTCAATGGCCAGGAATATAATTCATACATATTACTATTTTCTGCTGTCCTAATGTGAGTGCTATCTAAAATGCTCAATGAATATTTGTTGGTCAAAGCAATTTATGAATGAGAACATTATTATGGACCTTTCAAGATTCTTACTGAAGCCAGATATCTCTGAGTCAGTTTTGACCATACAATGTTCAACGTAGTAAAATGTGAGTACAGAAAGTAGGAAAATAAATGCATTCTAATTGTCTGAAAATCATCGCAGGTTGTGCAGGCCACGTTTTCAAATGGCAGCCAGCTTCACCTGTCCCCAGGAACTTCAGAAAGGAGAGTGGAAGAGGGCGTGAACCTGTCCAGCTGAGCATGCGATCTCTTTGTGAGCTGAGTCTTTCTCAGGCTACAGTCATGTATATGTGTGTGGGGGAGAGAGAAACCATCTGGAAAGAGTAAACTGAAGGCCCTAGGTTCTCAAATTACCCATGAGGATTTGTTCCTACATGTCAACAGGTGACTCATAGTTGTGAGAACAGTGGTGTTAAAGTCGGCAAGTTAGAGATCCAATCCTCCCCAGCAAAAAGACTCACAAATTTATGGAGAAAAGCCATTTTGGCCCTAGTGGGTCAGCCTAGCATTGTGGAATTTAGAAAGGCTTTCTAGGCAGCGCGTGAGAAGCTTCTTTGGAAAGTGGGATTTTAACTAGTTTATACATCTTTTGGAGGTGAGATTGTAAGCAGGGAGGGGGGTCCAAAGCTTTAGCATTACATGTGTTTCCAAACACAGATGCCTCAACGCATCACACAAATTGTAGCACAATGGAGAGTCCCACTGCCTAGGTTTGAATCTTGTATCTCCCCATTAATAGCCACTTGACTTGGGCAAGTTATTCTGTGCCTCGGTTTGCTCACCTGTAAAATGAAGCTAAAATCCTACTCATCTCATAGGGATGTTGTGAAAATTAAATAAGTTAATGTGTGAAAAGAGCTGAGACCAAAGCTTGGCTTGGAATCAAGCCCCTTTAGGAACTGAAAAATTTATGCTTCGTTTTAAATATGTCCCTCATCTTAACAATGCTGTAAAGGTGAATTAGAAATGGATCTCTTCTACCAGAAATGAGCATGATATTCATACATTTTGCCACCGGCGAATAAATGCTTTGCCACAAACAAGATCAATTTTGGACAAAGAACAAAAATACCCCCTGGGCTAAAGGAGGTGGCATGTCTGTCTCCGAAATGGAGATGAGAGCCAACACTTACTCGATGTATTTGAGGGAGATTTTCTGCGTTTGCTTGGTGGTAACAGTTGCAATGTACATTTGTAACGCGGCCAGCCGCAGGGCTATATCATATTTCAGCTCCGGCCCAAATCGCTCCTGAACCACATCGTTACAACTCTGCGAAGAGACCAGCAGGGGGCACAGCTTGTCAAAGAATGGGCCGCAGCGTGTGGACTCAGAGAACAGGTGACAGATTTCCCCAGAGTGTTTCAACCTTCACTTCCCAGGCACGGAGGCTAAATGTGGAAACATCTCCACCGCGCTGCTTGGAAACGAGTCAGTATTGAATTGCACGCACAAACACAGAGACCACACAAAACATTTAGCGTTCATCGACGAGCTGCTATTTAAATATTTAGCTTTTTGTAAAAACAATTAGGAATTTAGGTATGAAATTTCCAAACACAGGTGCCGCAGTTGAATGCATAAAGCATTGATAGCATAATGTGGCTTCTGGAGTTAGGCTGCTTGAATTGGAATCCCGGGCTTGAAACTTGTTTCTTCCACTTCATAAGGGGAGAAAACCTGGGGACCTTCTTAATTATCTGTGTCTCAGTTTCCTGTTCTGTAAATTGGGGATGATACTGCTCCCTGTTCACTGGGTTGTGGTGATGATTAAATGAGTGAACCATGAAAAGCCCGTAGAATCCCAGCACTTTGAGAAGCTGAGGCGGGCAGATTGCTTGAGCCCAGGAGTTCAAAACCAGCCTGGGCCACATGACAAAATCCAGTCTCTTCAAAAAAGACAAAAATTATCTGGGCATGGTGGTGTGTGCCTGTAGTCTCAGCTACTCGGGAGGCTTAAGCAGGAGGATCGCTTGAGCCCAAGAGTTTGAGGATGCAGTGAGCCACTGCACTCCAGCCTTGGTGACAAAGTGAGACTTTGTGTCAAAAAAAAAAAAAAAGCCAAAACAAAACTCCAAAAGCTCCTAGAACTGTACTACTGTCACCACCAACATCATTCTCCTCCTCCTTGCCATCAGCCACAACAGCTGCAGGGAAGCGGGATTAGCAGGGCAATTTAGCACAGAAGCCTGGGACTCGTACCCACCGGCTCTGGCGTTCTCGCTTTCCCCATGGTCACCTGTGCAGGTAATTTTAGACCATTCACTTTAACTCTTGCAGCCTCAGCTTACTCATCTGTGCAACGCGGGTTCATACTGTCTCACTGGAGTGGCTGGAGGATTAGATGAGAAGCACATCAGGTGCTTTATCACAGCGCGTTGGCACACTGGGTCAAGGGGAGCTATTCAGCTCTTCCATTGACTTCAATGGTAACTGCCCTGCTTTTTCAAGTGTTTGACTTTCAGCGAGTCATTCCTCCTCTTTCAGCCTTAGTTTGCTCCTCTGTAGAATAAGGCCTCCTATCTCACAGGGTTTGTCGTGGGGATCCAATTGAAGAGTGGCTGAGAGTGCGTCACCAAGTGTGAAGTGCCACATGGGCACAGAGGTTGGCTTTAGAGTAGTCCTCACTGACTCACTACTTAAGCACAAGGCAGTGAGCTAAGTGCTGCTGGAAAGCACTGTATTGCTTTGGTATATTCTACATGTGTGTTCACTTACTTTTGTCATGGGCAACTGGATTTCTGGCTTAGAAAATATGATATGTAGCTCCTTTCTTCCTTCTTTTCTTTATTGTTTGCCTTGCCCCAAGATTTTGTTGGAGGTCAAAAAACAAGACTCCCAAAAGAAAGCAAAAGTTTTTCTTTGACCTTCTCTTGCCCTCCTGTTTTTTACTTCCGTTCTACCTGGACGCTAGGCATAGAAACTAGAATCCCTCTTCCCCACGATGGGTCATAGTGACTAGAACCCCCTTTCCCCAAAGCCAGCCATAAAACCTAAATATCCGACTCAAATTTTCCCTCTGCCCTGTCTGTGTAAAAACTGGCTATAAAGAAATTATCTGATTAACGTGGTTTGATTGTAGGTCATAAGACCCCTATTCCAGAGTGTCCTGTCCCACACCCAGAAGGAAGGAACGCTGCTCAGAGAGGCCAAGAAGGATCTAGGCCTTGCTGGGTTTTTTCACTCAGTCAATTAGTGTTAGGTCAGACCCTTTTTGTCCAATCCTATTTCTATATAGCTGTCCATACTTTGTTGAACATAGCATAAAAATAAACAATTTTCCTTGTATCTTTGGGACTTCATTCTTAAGGCTCCCATGGATACACATTAAATACATTTGTATGCCTTTTCTCTAATTAGTCTTTTTCGACTTGATTTTTCAGTGAACCTTCAGTAGACCGTTGCCCTCACATGAAAAACTGTATCAAGATTTGTCTGCCTCCTTTCCAAGAAAAGCACATTTATAACCACTTCCTATATTGATTTTACTAAAATAGGAACATGTATCCCTGGACGGTTTCTGCATACAATATTTACACTGTGCACACTCACCCATGCTGCACTGGTGCTGTTCCATGCCTACAGGCTCTATATCCACGTGCCATGGGTGCATGTCTCAGCCCATCACTTCACTGCTAAGAGTAAAGTCACATTCTCTCTCCTGTTCATCCCTAATATGATTTCCCACCTTTGCTTCTCCTTAAAATCTTAAACCTATTTGGATTACACAGCACCCCTTGTCAGAAGTGGGTCTGTCCAGAGGCAGGAGATAGGGTAGTCTGATTTAAGGCAGCCTCTGAGAGCAATTACAGGCTGCCATTTTGTTTTGCTAGTCTTGGGTTTACCAGTTATTTCCGAGTGCTCAGGGTTGTCCACGCGGGCTCCAAGGTCATTTTATAGAGTCCCATGAAGGATGGGGGTGAGAAAACCATTGGCACAGTGAAGAATCAAGATTTTGAGAAATAATTTTTATAAATCATTTTCTTTAACAGCTGCTATGGCATGGTGGATTGAAAGAGGATTGGGCATAGAATTTAGAGACAAAAGCCCCAGGTCTGATTCTAGGCTCTGCCAACTTCTAATAAAATGACCTTGAACATGGCATTTCATCTCTTTTGAGCGTCAGTTTTCTTATTGGAAAAATGGGCTAAGTTTCAACAACTAACGTGAGAGTTCACAACGGACTCGCAAGGTTGCCATGATAGCTGTAAGTATGTTTCATGAAATGGAATATGCTTCATAAAGATGAGCCATCACTATTACTTCTCCTAAGAGTTGTGGCCTGGACCATATTTCCCATCCCTACTTTACCTTGTATTTAACTAGACTTCTGGATGAATTTTTTCACAAGGTGATTAGTCACTTAACTACATTATATAATTAGTTCAGACTGATCCCGGAGAATGAGTGTGAAATTTGGATTATATGTAAATATTTGAAACCAATCATGCTTTTATTACTCTTAACTATACTACTTAAAATAACAGTTATGCAAGCAAATGGGCAGTATCTGTTTTGCTAAACAGAGGTCCCAAAAGGCTCCACTTGAGGCCTCTAAAACGTTCATTTATAACTAATTAGGACCCCACTAAGATAAATGGATTTTACCTTTGTAAAGTGATACATGTTGCTCCTGCTTACTCTTTTGTTCCCTAGGCTACTTTTATTGCATCTTTTTAGCATCTTGAAATCAACATGGGCACACAAGCACCATTTGCAGATCTGTTGACTTATATTAGACATATTATTTTAGACTTACAGTAGGCACGCATTCTGTGATACAAGGCATTTCAAAGTAGAGGGTCTGAGGCAAGGACATTCTCATTTCCTGTTTCAGTGGAGGATGTATGACAGTTGCTTTATTTTGGTCTTTATTGCCTACCATATATGTTTTTCCATTTCTCCCCCTCTGGCTACGCCTTGAAGAGGTGGCTAATTCACCGCCCATTCTATACCCAAAGCAAGAAAGCAGAAACATCCTTGATCTTTTTCTGCTAGTCCCTTGGCAAGACTTCCAGACACATTTTCCTGTTCTGAGGACAGTCTCACATATATAAAACATGTGTCTATCGAATAAGAAAGATCTCCCTAAACTGCATTAGATTTGTGCAAACACACCTTAAAACAGAACTGGGTTTAGCCGTACTCCTTGTCTACTTAAGAGGTCTCCTCTCCCCAAGACAAATGCAACAATATTGCTCTTTTATAAATGCAATGGACCCATGATGTTTAAATGGAAGCAGAGTAAAATAGTTTTAAAGCACCATCCTGTTAATGGGGTGAATATATAATTATACAGAACAACCACTGAATGAACTCACTGTCTACAGCCACTACAGACCAGCACCTGTAACTATTTGCAACTAACAATGTAGCACATGATCTGAGCTGCAGTGGCAAAGCCCTGGTTTGGTTCCCAGCAGGGACATGGGAAGACACAGCAACTGATCAGCTGAGAATCAGGCTCTGTTTTATGCAGTCACACCTATTGGGGACCAGGTGATATTGTTGACAAGTGAGGGATCCAGGTGATCAAAGCTTAACATTAAAAAAACCCCAAACATAGCAGTTTCATTGTTCAGGATGGAAAACATTTTAAAGCACACTACACATTTCTTTACTTGTCAACACGGTTCACTGAACAGGACTTGACTTTTCCCAATGATGTAGGGTTATCTCCATGAACGTTATTCATCCCACTGAGCTGAAAACACCACAGTCTTCCAAACCGCTGAGGTGGGGAAGGTTTGACTGGCCTCATCCTGAGTGCCCCCATCTGCTAGAACACTCCTGTATGTTCTGCTTCTTTCCTGTCTGACTTAACCTGTGATCTTCAGGGCTTATTGCCACTTATTTATGTCACCATTCTTAACCTCTGATGCCTATCTTGTCTAGTCTCTTTTCTATCTTTCATCTACTTTTTTTTTCTACCCAGCTTTTGAAGATCACAAACGTTCTCAAATACACAAGAAAGTATTGAAAATAGTAAAGCAAACACCAGTGTTATCAACTACCTAGAGTTAACAAATGTTTCTTTTTATTATATTTTTCTTACTTTTTTGCATGCTCTTTCTCTCTCTCTCTCTCTCTCTCTCTCTCTCTCTCTATATATATATATA